AATTTGCTTCCACATCTCGAGCAAGAGCAATGCAGATCCGTATGGAACTCTCTACTATCCAGAAAAAGGACATGACAATTGCTGACTACTTTCGTAAAGTAAAACATCTTGGTGATACACTTGCTGCCATTGGCAAGCGAATAGAGGATGAAGAACTCATCGCCTACATGCTGCAAGGACTTGGTCCAGATTATGATCCTCTAGTCACAAGCATTACAACCAGAACAGATGTATACACTGTCAGCGACGTGTATGCTCACATGCTGAGCTATGAGATGCGGCACTTGCGTAAGGGTACATTTGAGCAACTTTCATCTGCTAACAATGTCAATAGGATATCCATTCGTGGAGGTGCCAATGGAGGTCGAGGTAGTCGCGGTCGTAGTCGTCAGTTAAATAGTGGTCATGGACAATCAAGGCGTACTGTGAACAATCCTGGACGTCAACCATCAAAGACACAAAGCAGCTCAGGCATTGTCTGTCAGATTTGTGGTAAGCCCAATCACGATGCTTTGCAATGCTGGCACAGATTTGATCAGGCATATCAAGCCGAAAATAATCTCAAACAAGCAGCTTTGGCAACAAGTGGATACACTAGTGACACAAACTGGTATGTTGACACTGGAGCCACAGATCATATCACCAATGACCTAGAGAGGCTTACCACCAGAGAACGCTACACTGGCACCGACCAAATTCAGGTTGCAAATGGCGCAGGTTTGTCTATCTCTCATATTGGGAATTCATTAATTTCTGGTTCATCTCTTGTTCTGAAACATATCCTATATGTTCCTAAAATCAATAAGCACCTAATTTCAGTACAAAGACTAGCATCTGATAATAATGCTGTTGTAGAATTTCACCCAAACTATTTTTTGGTTAAGGACCGAGTCACGAAGAAACTCCTGCTCCACGGTAGATGTAAGAATGGCCTATACGTTCTACCGCATAATTTCAGTCAAGCCTTGCTGACAGCCAAACTTTCGAAAGAACAATGGCACAGAAGGCTAGGGCACCCTGCATCTCCAATTACCATTAGAATTCTACAAGATAATAATTTAGCTATAGATACTAATATTCCCTCTTCCTCAATTTGTAATGCTTGTCAATTAGGGAAAGCACATCAATTGCCATTTGGTTCTTCTCAGCATGTATCTACAGCACCCCTTCAATTAATTCACACTGATGTATGGGGTCCATCCATTGCGTCAGTAAATAATTCCAAATATTATGTTTCCTTTGTTGATGATTTTAGTCGTTATGTTTGGATTTACTTTCTGAGATGCAAATCTGATGTTGAGTCTGTGTTCCTTCAATTTCAAAAACATGTTGAAACTATGCTAAATACCAAAATTCGCTCCGTCCAATCAGATTGGGGGGGTGAATACCATCGGTTACACAATTATTTCAAATCCACAGGCATTGAACATCATATCTCCTGTCCTCACACACACCAGCAGAATGGGTTAGTCGAAAGAAAACACAGACACATTGTAGAAACTGGCCTTGCTTTACTCGCTCAAGCCAACATGCCTCTATCCTACTGGGATGAAGCTTTCAACACAGCTTGCTTTCTTATAAATAGAATGCCCAGCCGAACCATACAACAAGACACACCACTTCATAAATTGTTTGGTAAAAGTCCAGACTACTCCATGCTTAGGGTGTTTGGCTGTGCTTGCTGGCCTAATTTAAGGCCTTACAACAACAAGAAACTGAGTTTCAGAACTACTAGATGTATATTCTTGGGTTATAGTTCTTCTCATAAGGGATATAAATGCTTAAATAGAAGTACAGGACGTATTTACATCTCTAGAGACGTGGTTTTCGATGAAAATGTTTTTCCTTTTGAAGAATCTAAGCCACCAAACAAAACCACAAATCCACATCATCCTGTTCTACTTCCAGCCTTAGCCAAACTTGCTAGTTTTTACACTGAAAATGCTCTTACAGATATTGAACCAGTTGTTAGTAATTCCCATATGAATGATGGTCAAACTGATAATATTGCTAGTGACAACTTGTCTGGTGTCAGCTTATCTTCTGCAGATAATACAAGAAGTTCAGAGGAAATTGCAGAATATGAAGCTGAGAGCAGTTCGATCAATGCTCAAAACCAAACTCATGAACATGTGTCTGATCAACCAACTGAAGCAGCTAGTCAACATCCAATGCGAACAAGGTTGAGAAATAACATTGTACAAGCTAAACAATTCACTGATGGAACTATCAGATATTCAGAAACCTCAAGAAAATTCGCAAGCGCTGTAACTATCACAACTCCGATCATAGAGACTGCTACTGAACCTCGAAACCTGCAGGAAGCCATGCAACATCCAAGATGGAGAGGAGCAATGAATGATGAGCTCTCAGCGCTAAAACGAAATGCCACTTGGGATCTAGTTCCACCCAAACCTGGAATAAATCTCATTGATAGTAAATGGGTGTATAAAGTGAAAAGAAAAGCAGATGGGTCAGTTGAAAGATTAAAAGCAAGATTAGTTGCCAAAGGATTCAAGCAAAGATTTGGTGTTGATTACACTGATACTTTTAGCCCTGTGATCAAACCGTCAACAATCAGGGTCATTCTTTCGCTAGCAGTAACCAAGGGCTGGAATATGAGACAAGTTGATATCCAAAATGCATTTTTGCATGGAATTCTGAAAGAGGAAGTGTACATGCGACAACCACCAGGATTTCAAGACTCAGCCAAACCAAAGAATTACATATGCAAGCTCAAGAAAGCCCTTTATGGCCTGAAACAAGCCCCAAAAGCTTGGCATTCAAGGTTGACTGGAAAACTTATTGAGTTAGGCTTCAAGGCTTCAGTAGCTGATTCATCTCTTTTTATTCTCAAAAACAGAGAGATAACTATCTATATGCTCATCTATGTTGATGATATAATTATTGTGAGCTCCTCTGATCAAGCAACCGAAAGGTTGATTCAGAAATTGAAAATAGATTTTGCAGTAAAAGATTTGGGTGATCTTGAGTATTTTCTGGGTATTGAAGTCAAGAAAACACGAGATGGTATCATACTGTCACAGAGACGATATGCCTTAGATTTGTTGAAAAGAGTAAACATGGAAAAATGCAAACCTATGTCTACACCAATGGGTTCTGCTGAAAAATTATTCAGAGAACAAGGAATACCCTTATCAGCTGAAGAACAATTCAAATACAGAAGTACAGTGGGAGCACTACAATATTTGACAATGACTAGGCCTGATTTGGCATTTGCTGTCAATAAAGTGTGTCAATATCTTCATACACCTACTGATGCTCATTGGGGTGCTGTGAAGAGAATTCTTCGTTATGTTAAAGGCACACTAGCATTAGGAGTGAAAATTCAGAAATCAACCATGATGTTGTCGGGGTTTTCTGATGCTGATTGGGCTGGTTGTCCCGATGATCGACGTTCAACTAGCGGCTTTGCTGTATTTCTTGGAGCAAATCTAATCTCATGGAGTTCCAGAAAACAGGCTACAGTGTCAAGATCAAGCACCGAAGCAGAATACAAGGCCATTGCGAATCTTACTGCAGAAATGATTTGGATCAAGTCATTACTGAAGGAACTGGGCGTGTATCAATCAAAGGCTCCTCGCCTCTGGTGTGACAACCTCGGAGCTACATATTTAACTTCAAATCCAGTATTTCATGCTAGAACGAAACATATTGAAGTTCAATCCAAAACATTCTCAACTAATTTGAATAAAATAAGTTGGATCAGCGTCCGCGTGCTCGATCGCGCATCACTTTCTTCGAGTCCACTTCCATGGCAGATCGGAATCCCAGCTTAAACGCCGCCCATTTCGTTGATCATCGAAGCGGTTTCTGTCCTCAGACGAAGATTTTCCATAGCCTCCGACCACCTCTCTTAATTCCGCCATTATCTCAGCCTCTCTCCGTTACCGAACACGCCCTTTCTCTCCTTCAATCGTCCCCTCCTCCTTCAAATGCTGCCGTTCTCGTCGACTCCAACTCTGGTGTGCATCTCTCCTATGCCATTTTCCTCCGTCAAATACGAACACTCGCCTCTAATCTTAAAGCGTTAACCTCACTCTCCAATGGCCAAGTGGCTTTTATTCTCGCACCGACTTCTTTGGAAGTCCCTGTGTTGTATTTTGCTCTGATACCATATCAAGTTTATGCAAAACTGTACCTCACACTATTGAGGACATATTCTATTTATATTGGCAAAAGATTAACTAATAGATCCGATTTCATAGGAAACTAACGAAGTAAGCCTATTCTTATGGCATGACTAACTTCAAGCTATTCTAATGGATTGACCAATTCTAACACATCCAACACCTCCCCTTGAACAAAGTACGCCTCCCCTTAATTGAGGCTCGACTTCTTTTCTTTTGGAGTCTTAGTCATTTTTTACTATGCCTTCGAGGAGTCTCGACTCCTTTTTTTTTTCTTTTGGAATCCTTTATTCGACATTTGAAGATTCTATTGACATAGCTAAGTTTAGGAGATGGCTCTGATACCATGTTAGATGAACACGACTCTCTACAATGGTATGATATTGTCCACTTTGAATATAAGCTCTCATGGCTTTGCTTTGGGATTCCCCAAAAGACCTCAAACCAGTGGAGTATTCCTTGATTATAAACTCATGATCATTCCCTAAATTAGCCGATGTTCATCCAACACATCTAAGTTTTTTTTTTTTTTGTTGTTGTTGGATTCTCTTTTCAGGATTCAATTTATTTTGGGGGTTCTGATCCTTTGTTTCATTAATTCATGATAAGTTTTGTTTCTTGTCAAAAATAAAAAGAACAACAGAGTATTCACAAAATGTCTATTCGTCAAACTGTTCATCCACACTGCAGTTTAGATGCAAACATTTTCCATTCCCTTCAGTTGATCAACCCATAAATTTTCTATAGTAGCTCTAAACTACGTTTCAACAGAAGAATTTCATTTCTCCAACAAACAATGTAATTGTTTTCCTAACTGCGAACAAGCACTTTAAGTCCAGAATGCCATTTCTATTCAAATTGTTCAAGAAGAAGAGGAGATAAAAATTGCAAAGACAATTGAAATTCACAGCACTGGTTCCCCTAAAATGGTTGCTATATGAACCCTAATTCTTAAACCATATAGACTTTACGGGTATCAAATCAGCCAAGAAATAACTCGATCAAACAGAGAAGAGAACATTGAAAGAATGAACAAACCTTGAGAAGCTCGTTGGCTTCAAGTGTCTCGATGAAAGAAGTAGCCAAGCCTGGAGTGACGCCAGATTTTCCCACCAACTGACTCTTCAGCTTCTTCCCCAAGCTATGAGCGTATGATGCCAACTCTTTCTTCTCCTTAACCGTCAAACTCGGAATATTCTTCACTTCACTTCTACTCACCACCGCCGGAGACGAGTCTGAAGCCACAGCAGTTTCCAATCCGTCCTCAACCGTATTGTCTTCCAGTTCGAAATCTTCGATTTCAACTTCATCTCCGTAATCACTTTCGTCGTCATCGTCAATTACATCGTCGTCTTCAAATCCGACCGCAGAGGTATCAGAAATGGTGGAAGAAAAGGAGCGAGAGAATGAAACGGATGCTGAGGGACTAAAAGACCGGGAACGGTGAGGAGATTGGCGAATGAGGAAGATAGAACTGTTGGGTTTAAATTGATGGGAGCAAGCGGCTGAGATGGCGGCGGAGGGTTTAGAGAGGAAAGTCGAGAGAGAAGAAGGAACTGACCGGAGAAGAAGAGAGTGGATGAGGTGAGAATGAGAGGGAGAAGACATTATCGAAGCTCCCATTTTCGCTCCTCCTTGTTCCTGGCGCCTGAAACTGATAGAAATTGAGAAGAAAAATATCAGATAAAACTTATTATAGTAAATATATAATAAAAATTTGAAATCGAACATCGACGGGTGTTTGGTCTAGTGGTATGATTCTCGCTTCGGGTGCGAGAGGTCGCGAGTTCGATTCTCGCAACACCCCTGTTTTATTATATTAATATCTTTTCTAATAAAATAAAACCGTTTTTTCTCTTTTCTTCAAACTAGTTTATTATTAATTTTAAAATATATATTTTTACATTTTTATATACATTTATTTTTGTTTAATTTCATATTATTTTTTAAAAATTTAATTTTTAAAAATATATATAGAAATTGAGTTACAAATTTTAATTAAATATTTAAAAATAAATAAATAAATGTTTGTTTTTGTTACTTTTACTTAAAAACAACTCAAACAAACCCAATCCAAAAAAGTTACTATTTAGTTGAGTTCATTATTTAATAAAGGTTGTTTAGGTTGAAAATTTTTACCATTCGAACAACTGAGTTTAGTAAAAAAAAATGTCTCAACTTGATTCAATCCCACCCTTTGAACACTCCTAAGAAGTTCGTGATTAATCAAATGTTACAAATATTTAGTATAGTTTTAAATAAAAATATTTTTCCTTAGAATAATATGTATTAACAAGCACATATAATAAGAATAAAAAAAATGCAAAACTATATAGTTGTGGTATATAATCACTTTACTATATAGTTTTTTGGGCCCATGAATGTGGACAGCCCGTCCTCCTAAGAGCCCAAAAGAGAGAAAAGGATGACGTGGTCCTGTCTTAAACGGGGCCCACCTTCCCACGTGAAAAGCCCACCTCACCACAGCTCATCGCTTCCTTTTCAAGTAAAGCCTCCCATCCCTAAGGCCCTCTCAGTGTCAAGAACAGTCATTGTCTACCCCTTTTTAAGGGTTAGATTCCTCCAACTTTAGTAACCAAATAATATTTGGTAATTTATTTGTTTAGTTAATAGACGTAGTTTGATAATGTTTACTCGGGATTGTTAACCTGATCATAACTCAGCTGCTTGAGATATACTTTCGAGCGATCAAGAGGTCAACGATTCGAATCTCCTACTTCTGGTGTTATTGAACAGAAAAAGGGTGAGACAAACCCCGTGATATTTATAGTATACGATCAATGTTTATGTAGTTAAAATAGTTTGGTAATGCCTACTCGAGATTGTTAATCTGATCATAACTGAGCTACTTGGATATTTTCGAGCAATCAAGAGGTCAGTGGTACGGATCTCTAACGTCTAATGTTATTGAACTGGAAAATGGTGAGACAAAGTCTGTCTCGCCACTTTTATTTGTCACAAAATTTTGGAATACAGTTAGATTCTTGCCATTGTTATTGAACGATCCAGAGGTTAGAGGTTTGAATTTCTTATTCTCGGTGTGAGAAAAATGATGGGTTGACCTAGTTATTGTTATTCGAGTCGATGAAAAAAGTTGAAAGACTTCATATTATGTAATTTAATATATCAACGACGAAGCTAGATCGAGTTCGAGCTCATAGCTATGTTTCACATGGGGTGGACCACATATTTCAACCTCTTTCTCCAAGCTTATGAGCTTTGCTTTTCTTTTTTTTTTCTTTTTTTTTTTTCTCATTTTCTAATATCCTAAAATGAGGGAATCTAGAACTTTCCTTTGCTCAAGTTTGTGGGTGAATTAGTAATGATTTTAAAATTTGTTCTTATTTTCTCAGACTACCAAATTTAAATCATGACGGTTTGATTGGGTTAGTTTTGTAATATCCCATATTATTTAGGGAGGCAAACGAAACACCCCGTGTGGAAACCTTCCACTAGTAGACGCGTTTTAAAATCTCGAGGGGAAGTCTGAGAGAGAAAGCTGAAAGAGGACAATATCTGCTAGCAGAGGACCTGAGTTGTTACAAATGGTATCGGATCCAGGTTCCAGGCAATGTGCTAGTGAGGACGTTGTTCCCTGAAGAGGGTAGACACAAGGCAGTGTGCCAGCAAGGATGCTGGGCTTAAAGGGGGGTGAATTTGGTGGGGATCCCACATCGGGTGGAGAAACGAACGAGTACCGGGGAGGATGTTGGCCCTAAAGGGGGTGGATTGTGATATTATCCCACATTGGTTTGGGAGGAGAACGAAACACCCTTTATAAGAGTATGAAAACCTTAGAAAACATTAAATAATAATGAAAAAGAGTTAGCTAAATAGGTTAAAATAAAGTTTTTAAGTTATCATAATAACACAATATATTAAAAAATAAAAAAATAAAATATTAATATAAAGGAGAGGTTGTTGGTTAGTTAAAACAAACCCATCTTGATTTACGTTGCTTTATGCCCACAACCAAACATTTTACAAATTTTAATTCTCTATTTTCAGCTCACCCTTCCTAATCCCACCATAGAGTGGTTAAAGGGTTTTCCTTTTTTTTTTTTTTTTTTTAATTAATATTAAATAAATTAATAATACACTTTTTTTTATTATTAATTTCTTAACTTTTTATTTTATAAAATTCTAAAAATATTCTATTAAATCATCTATTTTTTAAAATTGTGTATTAAAAAAATATTTTATTCGAGTAATTATTTGGTTCACAGTTGTTTTTAAATTGCATGTTAAAAAATATTTTACTCGTTATTATCATTCATGCTTTGGTTTGTTAAAGAGTTAGGGACCCTTTTTAATAAAACTCGATTACAGGTATTTACGTCATTTAGCTCTCTCCGCTCCGCTGATATTGAATGGTGCATGAAAATAGTGAAGAGAGGTTGCATTTATGAGTAATATTTCTTTTTTATTTAAGTTAGTGGTAATCTCGTTTTCGAAAGAGTGTCTCGACTTGCTTAATAGTACATAAACTCAAGCTGTATGAAGTAGAAACTCGTCACGTATACGATTCGAAAGCCAAGCTCGAGTTTCGAATTTCTACCTATCTCAAAATAAGGATTTTTTTTAGGATTCCAGGGACGAAATTAAGTGTAATGTAGCCAACTTTTTGGTTGGCTAATAATTGAAATTTTAAAGCTGTATTTTTAAGAGATTAATAAACGGAGTAGGACGGCGGCGCGTGGTAGCGCGTGGGAGAGGAAGCGGCGGGGAATGTACAAAAAGACGAAAGTAGCCCCACGTGTGGCTCTGGAACATGCTTGTACTGTCACGTTACATTTGCCCCTCCAGGTCCTATGTGTAAAGTGCGGGGTGGCAGCCCCACAATCACATGGTACTGGAAACTCTCCGCCGCGCGCCTCTCCCGTCTCTCTCTCTCATAGTTACATTCTTTTAATTTTGTTAAATTGAATATTAAATTTTGTTACATGTTACCATTATATTTTGATATAATACTAAATGAAATAAAAATAAAAGAACTATTTTAATAAAAAAAACAATACTACGAATTAGGTTTGAAAAATATACTGGACCAACCTAAATATCGGTGACCTAAGTAACTTGTTCATAACTTAACTCAATCTAACCAACCCTCTATAACGTTGATTGGGCTGGGTTAAGTTAAGTCATCGATTTGTTGGTTTTTAATTATTTAAAAATTAAAATTTATTTATAATACATGCTACATCAATATAACTAAAATCTTATAAATTTCAAATATCAAATATTCACCAGTCACAACCTATTACAAACATCGATTATAAATGTCAAATATTTTTAATATTCATAATAAGGTTGACTCAAAAATATCAATTAATTAAATTAAAACATTTTAAATAATGTTGAAATTCCTTTTCTTTTCCGTTCATTATGTTCTATAAATTAAAAAAAAATGTAACAATTTCACTTCATTTGCAACGTAATTAAAAAAAAAAATATTTAAAAATTAAAATTCGTATTAAATTTAAAAATAAAACAATTTCACGTTTATTTTCTTAAAAGTCCTTTTTTTTTCTCCCCATTTCAAAAACAACCCCAGTTGTCCGCCACGTCATCCCGCTTTAAATATATATATATAAACAAAAATTAATCAAAATTTAAATTAAAAATTTTAAAAATATAATCTGTCTCTCTCTCTCTCACTATCCATTTCTCTGTAACGCCCGCTGTCTTAAAGAAGACGAAACAATCTCTAACTTCTCTCTCTAAAGTCTTCCATGGGAGGTAGCTTAAAGCGTTGAACAAATTATTAGCACAGACAAAAGAGAAGAAGAAGAAGAAGAAAAGGGATTCTCAATGTTCTTCGCTTTTGCTTGTGCAACCATGTGAGTTTTCTGACACTTTTTTTCTTGCTTGCTTCTGATTCTTATTCTCCTTCTTTTTTATTTTTTAATTTGATTTGATTTGATTTGCATTTTGCTATCAGAGTCCTCACTGACTTGCCTGATTCAGTCTATGGCGTCTTCGTCCCGAACGCGGAGTAGTTCGCCGTTTTCTCATCGGAAATCTGTTGCTTCTTCTTACTATTCGAGTCCATCGCCCAGTTCTTTCACGAACGGGAAGATGATTCCTCGACCTTGCTCGAGTTCGGCGTCTTCGCATTATGGAATGGGCGGTGGATTTGGTTCTCGATCGATGGCTCATGGCCGAGGGGTTTCGGATTCAATGCACTATGGAGGTGGAGGTTATGGTGATTGCTCGCCGGTTGGGTTTATTTCTGATGATTTGATTGCTGAGCCTGTGGATGAGCTGAGGAATGGAGATAGCATTTCGGTGACGATTCGGTTTCGGCCTTTGAGGTAAGTGGAGAGATCGGAGGGTGTTGAATCTGATCCGTGATTGATTTTAGTGTTGCTGTTTTTGCGATTGATTGAGTTTTGGTTTCGGGCTTATGCTTGCAGTGAGAGGGAGTTCCTGAAAGGGGATGAGATTGCTTGGTATGCGGACGGGGACAAGATCGTGCGCAATGAGTATAATCCGGCCACGGCCTATGGATTTGGTACTCATTTTTAAATTTGAATTTGGATTAACGTAGCAGCAATGTATGTTTTCGTGTTTATAACATCGTGGGGACGGTGTTTCTCTGT